CCCTCTTTATTTTCTGATATAAATGTGAGTAGATGTTGCATGCTGGGAAACTCCTCATACACACTGAGATGTCAGATTTCAGAATCCTCTCATGGTTTCTGACATCAAGGGACATTGGGAATATGTAAATGGAAGTATTGTTTGTAGGGTGAGGCTCCTTTGCTTCACACTCATTCTAATTTAGCCTCTGTGGAATTTTGAAACAGGCTGGTTTTGCTCCGATCCATCTACTGCAGGGCTTTACAAACAGTGATGTATGTGTGCCCAGCATAAAATGTGCTACCTTAACTTAGTAAAATGGTCTGTTTTTCTAGACCGAAACTTCAAAAAACTCCATATGAAATATATTTATAGTCTCACAAAGTGTAAAAGGTAAAAGAAGTAAAATTGAAATCAGAGTCTGTTATCAAGTATCTCTTGGCATGCGAAGGTGGGCTTCTATGGCTTGGATGTAAGATATGATCTCTGCATAACTATTTTCAATCTCAGTTGGCAGAGAATTAATTTGCACTATCTAGCAAATTTTGTAGGATTTCTTTGGTATTACTCTGTTGCTTACCTAATTTTTGGTTTAGTATCCTGTTGCTAGTCAACTGGAACTCTTACAAACCTCATTTGCTAAGGGATGCCTCAAAGCAAGCTAATTCCTCCCTATAGGGAGCAAGGGAAGGGATTTAATCTCTTACCTTTCTCCCTCCCACTGAGTAACTTCCCAGCCGCTCTGGGCTTCACTCCCAGTCTCCCTTCAGTTCCATCCTCGAGGGATATGTTTGTCCTCAAGGCTCTTAACTTCAGTTAGCTAACATGTGTTACAGTAACTGTGAAGATAAGGCAGCTCAATTTTGATCCATGTTAGTATCTCATGTTCATCTGGACTTCAATACGCAAATTATTTTTAACTTAATCTGAGTAAAATCTGACTTTGCTCATCTTTACTTCTATTTTATGTTCAGTTTGTTTATCTCAGGTCAGAATGCATTCTTCTTTTCAAATCCAGTTATTTGTCCTCCTCAAGGAGTAATAAATTCTTTCTTGATAGTATAGGAGAGTTTGTGGTTATTCATTGAGTATTTAATCAGAAGGCTCTCTTCCTCTTTGCATCTTCAGTTCACTTCTGCTTCTATCCTAGAATGCTGTTCTGGCCTTGAATGTTTGCTGCACTTTTCATTAAAAGGAGAAGGGAGTCTGACTGGGTTACTGCCAGCCTACCACATGCTTTTTAGGCCAGGATAATCTTCAACACGGTAACTTTGTCTATAGTGAACCATGCTAGTAATCAAGCACATCTTGAAGTGGAGACCACCACTTTATTTTCATGACTTCCCACAAAGCATTGTTTTTTGGGGGTGGTTTTCCTGTTTGCTTGAGATAATAGATCTCTGCTTGAGTGAATCTTTGCAAACAAGCAGATTGACACATAGGCTGTGTTTTCTTTAGAATAAAAGTTAAGGAAGGCAGTAATGGTGGCATTTAAATTGTTGCTTTTAAGACATTCTTTTTGTGAGAAAGAGATGATAAGAGTTCATTTGCCTTCCAGCCTCTCAGCACTTATTCCATTCCTGTGCAGGAAATACTTGATTTAACCTTGAATTCTGTCTCATTATAACAGAATATTGCTTGAGATGCAAGAAGTACTAGGCAGTCAATCTGTAAAGTGACCTTGCAGTAAACATTGAGTGCCACAAGCTTTTGTTAAATTAATTAATTTGTGGATTTCTACCTAAATGAAATGGCAGTTGCCTTTTTTTTTTTTTTTTTTTTTTTTTTTTTTTTTTTCTCTGCCTTGCTTTTCTGACACAAATAGTAGGGTTTTAGCTGGACTTTGAAGTTGCTCAGCTATTTGGATTTGGATGTTTTGGTACGGGCAGCAGTTTGCTCACAGCCATCTTCTTGTTAAAACCCATTGCACACAGTTACAAAACAGGTCACCAATAACAAGTTGTGCACCCCTTGCTTCTTGCACACAAGTCACTCTACTTTATAAATAGAACTGTACTGATAGACAGAACTTGGCCTGTCCTGTTGTCCTCTTATGCCAGTTATTTTGATTTAAAAATAGAACTGTCCTAGTAGATATGTATCAACGAGGTTGTGAAAGTTCACTTCTGGACACTACTGTAATTAAGCAGTAAGTTGCAGGGAGCAGTGTGCGTGTTCTCTTCAGGAACGTAAAGAGTTTTGAAGTACAATGGTGTTAATGTTGGTTTTCAAGTAGCGATACGTTTCCAAGTGGTAACTGTGTTCCTTTGCTTTAGCTCATCAGGGCGTACCTGAATACACAGACAAACTTCCACAAAGAAATAACTTTTTATAAGTGCTATTTAAAAGCAACCAATCTGACAAAGTTCAGTGGTCCCAGACCTTGTAGACAACAGGCAGTAATTGTTACTCCTAATTGATCAAACTGCACCCTTGGCTGCAGCAGTACTGCTGTGTGTCTAAATATATATTCTTTCTGAATGGTCGTCTTTCTTTAGCATATTTTAATGCAATTTTGAATTGTTGTTGATCTTTTTTTTTTTTTTTTTAAATATTAATTGAAGCTCACTTCAGAATCTTGAAGTCTTCCTTGATTTGTTGCTTTTCAGAAAGTTGGTTGTTGTTTCTCAGGTATTGTGCCTCAGCTGCAATTTAATGTGCACAAGGAATCAGGTATTGAAAATCTTTATTTTTCCCGAACAGACCTATTTGACTTTTTCTCTCTCTAGTTCAATTACCTTAAGTATTCAGATGTATGGATTTACACAGAATATGCAGAAGGCTTGGGGATGGAAGAAGGTTTACTTGAATAATTTCTTCCGCATAATTTTAGAGGCGGACTGATTTCAACTGTTACCAGATTTACTACCAGAGAGAAATCTTGTGGGCTTCACACAAGAAGTTTGAAAAGCACAATCTGAACACATGTTTTTGTTATGTTTCTTTCCTAAAAGCCTTTCCTGAGAAATTGCTAGTAGATTTCTGCAAAGTACTTTTCTATTTAATACTTAGCTGCTCCTGCTGTCATAGTGGCTTTACCTAGAGTAAAAATTTGGCAAATTTGGAGGTAAGGAGGAAATGAAACACAATTCATAAAAGGTTCTGAATGTTGACATGTGAACATTTACTTGAAATGGGAGAGGATAGGTACATTACATTCCTTTCTAGCAGAGTTGCTATGGTTAGCTGTACAATATAGGGGATGAAAAGTGAGATCTTTCCCTACCTCTTAGAGCGAGCATTTTGTGACTGCAAAATTCCTGTATTTCTTCATCTGGATTTTTCCTTCTTGTTCTCTATGTACACAGTGGAAAGATTTTTTTTTTTTGTGAAAATTAATGAAAATGGAAGAAAAGGACAAATGCAAAGGATTCTGAAATAGGAAGCCAATGAGGTCATTGCTGCTTCAGAAGTAATTAGGTGCCCTGCAAGATAGAAACCAGGATATAAGAATCCTCAAACCTAATAAACACAGTCTCATCTCATGGACTGGACTAAAATGTACACATCTGAGTAACAACAGTTCAGCAGGGACGTGGGGCATTCCTTGATCTATGTACATTGAGCTTAGTGATAGGTTTAAATGTCAGCTTCTTGAGAGCTACCAGGTTGCTGGGGAAAGAGACCTTTTTATTCATTTCTATTTATGCAGAATCATGGCATTACTTAATGATCTTTTATTTAAGAGGTGACTCTGTAGGTATGCAATTAACTGAGCATGTCACAAATTACACATGCTTTAATTTAACTAGTCAATTTATTTATCAGTGTTTTAACTTAGTTTTACAAGACACAATTAAACTGCTTGAGCTCTACTTACGTGGACTTATTTCAGAAAACATTAAGTGTTGTTCAGTGCTATGTACACAAGACAAAAACAGTTTTGAAAATATAAGATTTGTTTTTCATGCACTTTGGGATAGAAGGTATTTTGAGCGTTTATGCATTGTTTTAACCACTGTTAACCAGCAGAGAGCACTTCAGTTTATAACATAACATCTACTCTTAAAAAAAAAAAAAAAAAAAAAAATTGGGAGAGGCTGGAGGTTTTTTCCTTTCTTTGAGACAGCCGTTAGAAATCACATGTCTGGGAAAATGAAATTCCTAGTTTTGTTTATTATCAATGGTGATTGCATTCTGTACAACATACTGCTTAGTAAGTATAAATGTTATTGTATGCTAATGACATAAAGAAAATTTTAAGGGAAATTTTATGAGTGGTCTCTGGATGGTGTTTATTTAAACTTTGCACCATATGAGGTATGGTTCCTTAAAAATACCCACCTTAGCAGGCTGATAAAGAGAATTCTAGTTTTGAGCCTCGGGTTTAGCTGGCACTGATCCATTTCCAGTGCATGCAAACAGTGAGCACTAGGACTTGTTGCTAGCATATGGAAATTAACCTCCATGTGATGGTGCTGTTGTGGCAGCTCACTGAAATCACTTGTGGAGAATGAGACAAGGAGGTAGAGTTGGGGCAAATGGCGTTGTATAACATGGGTGCATTAAATCTTTTTTTTCAGTCTGTGATATTGGTTGTCATAGATCAGAAATGAGAATGAAGGGGAGGAAGGTGTGAGCAATGGGAATAGGAGAATCTTGACTGCAAAGCCCCTGAAACCAATCATGATTGTCACTTGCCACCTCTGATGTGACCGGAGCCCTCAGAAATGGGAAAATCAGTGTACTGCTAACTCAGCTCAGTGGTATGGCAGCAATGGATGAGGCTGCTGCATGTCTGATAACCTCTTCTGTATTTCCCCCGTTCCTCTGCTCCCCTCCCACCTATCTTGATAGAGGGGTGAGATTCTAAAAGAGAGAGAGTCAATATGGGAATCGTGGGTGCCTGAGGAGAGATATGTGGTAATGACATCAATGCAATGTCTCGTGAATGACTGCTGTCATGGCTGTTGGTAACACGAGTTATGTGTAACGTGGCTTAATGAGCACAGGCTGGAGAGAATTATTATTATTGAAGTCTCTGACCTCTCTTGATTTTTTCCATTCTGTGGAGTAGGTCAGCGGCATGTGGAAACATGATCTGAAACCTGCCAGTCATGCACACACATGAGGCACGTAACGCTTCTGTGAAAGAGCTGCATTAGAAGAGAGACTACAAATCCTGTCACAGGAACAGACATACAAGGGAGGAGCAAGCTTTCACAGGCAGAGATAGTTGTAAATACGTGTTTTGCTGAAATACTGCTGCTGCTTTTATGAGATGAATAATTAATATTACAAACGTTGAGTTCTGAGTGGCAATTTGCAGCTTCTTTGGATGGAGATATGGAGCTGCTGGAAATGTAAACATCTCATCTAGCAATTTCTTCAGCAGTGTGTTGTGCCTTTTATTGTTTGAATCTGCCTGGGAGTGGCTTTAAGATCCAGTAACCTGATCTTCTATCACTCTCGGAGGCTTCCTTTTCTGGTATGCCCCGATGCATTCAACACATGTTGGTATTGTGCACGACCGGCAATCAGAGCGATTCGAGCTCACTTTCTCTGTCTGCAAGAAATGGCAAATCATTTGCTGGTGAATGCTTCTGACTTGTCAGCCGTCTGCAGCTAATTTCTGCCTGGCTCATCAACCCCATTTCAGAGACTGGAAGCGCTGTGGATGACCAAGCTAGGAAGTGTTGTCATGATCCTATCTCAGGAGTGAAGACTAGCTAAGAATGAGAATGCTTTCTCTTTTCTTTAGAGGAATCGCAGACTGTTTGATGTGAGAACACCCAGTTTCTCGCTGAGGAAAAGAGCAAGGCTGTGAACGATTCAAGTCAGTGCAGGAGGAGCAGAGACTGGCTTTAAACAGCAGTTATTCTGTTACTTGTCTGAGAAACGTCAGCAGATGGACTTTGGTTTCAGGGCTGTGAATATTTGCAGTGGCTTTGCATGTTGGAATACAAGCAGTGATCTCTTTTACTCCCTTTCCCCTGTACATTACCTGCTGAAAAATGAGTGAGGAAGCAAAGGAGAAAAACGCTAAACCAGCTCACAGGAAAAAGAAAGGAAAAAAGGTAACTCCCTGTTTAAACACTATGCTGTAATGATTTGTTGTTGTTTTTTTTCCCATTTTGTTTTCCTAGTCATTTTGTGTTCTGAGCAGTGTGCTTCTGGATGTGGCATGGCTTTGGATAATATACTTAGAATGAGGATGACTGTAGAATTGAGATGGTTTTGTTTGTGCTAGATGCTGATGGGTGTGTTCTCTTCTAGAATCAGTAATAACATCAGAACTCAATTATTTTTTATTATATAAACATTCAAATGTTTAAATATATGATAATCATAGAATTTCTGTGTGGCTGTAGTTTTCCTTGTGCATTCCAAATGTGGGATTGACATGTAAACAGTATCTAAATGAAGCCTTTTCCAAACAAGAGTCTGATAATCAACATGTGCTCTTGTAAAAGAATATTATGGACATTGCTGAAGAAAGCAAGTTTTCCAAATAGTTTTTATTTTTAAAAAGTGGCACTTGAATCAACCTTATATACCATGGGGAAAATGTGGTTAAACCAAACTCTGGATAAAATTCCATTTTCAGTGGCGCTAATTTATGTTATGCTTTAAGTCTTTTGCCTGAAACTGTACTTGGATGGATTTGATACATTATTGCTTTCTGTGGTGCAGTTCTTGCTTTTCTGATATCCATTTTTTCTTCTCCCATTTAGAAACAGGTGATTTTTATGTGCCAGGTTGTTAAACCTAGGAAGTTGACTTCTTCAGGTTTTTTACTCATTATAAATATTAACTTGCTGTATTAATTTATAATGTGAATTCCCTGAAACTACTGTCAGAAGATGCATCTGAAATGTTGATTATTGCTGTAGAGAATCTGTTCAGACTCCCACCCTTTTTTTCTAAATGTGCCTTTATATCATATGAAAGTGTATGAGAGCTTCTGAGTTAATCCATTTCCTTGGTGAAGGATTTAATAAAGATTGTCAAAAATGCAAATTAAATCAGACTGTCCGCTCTATCTTGCCAGAAATGGAAAGAGCAGCTTTGGAAAGGAAGCAGGGAGAAATATAATTTTAAAACACTCTTAATGGTAAATTAGGATACTTTCCTGACATACCAAAAGCATCAGGCATGATACATTGCCTCAGGGATAGAAGACATGTTTACAACTAGATTCTGGGATGGCGTTAAGCTTTGAACATATTAATAGTTTTTACTATTTTACAAAAGCTTTTTTATGGCATTTAGCAATCTAATTTGATAGTACAAAGCAAATTTCATTACTTAAGCTTGCGTATAGATTTGTCTTCCAAACATTAGCCAACAGAACAGGCTGGGCAATGTAGGATGGTGCCAAGTTTGGAGTCTCACTTGTTGTTCTAGCAGTGGTTGGTGCTGGTTGTAGCTTCACATCGTAAAAGGTGATGTTCCACCTGTGGGCAGGAGCTACAGCTGTCCTGTCCAAAGCCACCCGCTACTGACTGGTATGATGTCATTTTTCTTAAGGCAGGGAAAAACTGTCAGACTTGTTTACGTTCGTGAGTTATGGCTGTGAGCATTGAAGGCCAACGGCAAAATGATGCTTTGTGAGGTAATGGCAAAGCCTGCTGTATTGCCTCAGACCTTCGCCGCATGAGCTGCAACGAACAGTGCGTGACTGCAAACCATTGCATTTCAATGGGGAAGAAGCTAGAGGTGTTGTTCTGCTGTTCTGTTTGATTTTTCTTAATGCTGATGGAATTGAGATTGTTGCTGGGTTATGCTGTATCAGTGTTAGGTGTGTCCCTCATGACCAGCGCACATCAAGCCTGCTTACATGTCACTGTTAAACACAAGCTTGTGCCAGAATGTTCCCAATGGAAAGGAAACTGCTTTTCTTTTTGTTATTTCTTTTTAAGCAACCATTTCTTCTGGTTCTAGTTCAAATTTATTGTTTTGATTCCAAAGATGAATCTCTAGATGGCCAATGAAGAAGCTTTAGTTCATTCAGGAACATTCTCCAAAAAGGAAATTTGATGAACAAATGATGTTAGTTGGGCACGTACTCCTGACCCTGATGAAAGCTTAACTGAGTCTGTGATTGCAGTGAGTTACAGAACCTGCCCCTCTTAAAAGTATGTATCCTGAAGTGGGTATTCTCATGGCCTTCTTGCTGTTCTGTTCAGAAAGTTGCTTCACTGGCAGCTATTTTCTCGTATTTGGCACTTCTTTTACCACCTGCCTTATCATTAAGGTTGAGTGGTGCCAAGTCTTCTGTTCTTCAGTGAGGTGAGGTGCTTGTTCATATCCCATTCTCCCTTCATCAAATCCCAGTTTTCCTGTTCTGCAATTTCTGAGCAGGACAACAAGGAAATAAAGATACAGAGGAATAGCAATGGAAAGATCATACAGTACTAAATGGAAAACGACAATCAGTAGCGTACTCTGAATTCTCTCGCTTAGTGCAGAGTACCACAAAAATAACCCCTAACCTGGGGAACAGTGTCTCATTTTTGAACACTGTCATGCAATAATTATACCATACATCTAGAATGGGCTGGCAAAAGCGGACTGTTTTGGAAGTATGTTAAAAATCTCAATCTGAACTGAGAGGATGGATATATAGAGTGGTGATGCTGGGATTTATTTTGAAGAGTGGGCAATCTAGAAGAAAGCAAAACATATACTGCATTTAGTACTGTAATATTAAGTGGGAATACAGCTTTCAAATGATGATGAGGGTACCACATCAATATGTGTTGCTGAGGTTATGGAGAACACAATTAACCCTGATGGAATAGAAAGCCTGATTAACAATTCTGTATTCCATTCTTCATTGTTCCTTTTGAGCAGCAGTCTGCGCCTCTTGTACTTGAGCATCAGTTGTCCTGCAATTTCCAACCATGCTCTTACAGAGTCGTGTTTTGAAGCTGTCAGCTTGAATCCCTAGGCGTTATGGAGTGGCTTTATCTTGTATGTTTGTGTCATCACTTTTCAGTAAATTTTGGAATGTCAGTGGTAGAAAAGTGTTGAACTCAGTTGTCACTAGAGATTTAAGATATGTTTTGATTTTTAACAAAAGAAAAGTGTTGTACTTTTCCCTTCTGCTTTGAACTCCAATATGAAATTAGCCATAAAAATGCTTGTGGTCCTCTGGAACTTCAAAGGGTAATCAAAAGTGCGGGAATAAGAAATAATTTTGATCACCTCAAAACTTCTGTAGTGTAAGACACTCTTCCATTTAATTTTACAGTCATCCAACCACCATTCATTTCTAAGTAGTGAGAAACCATAGTAAACTCTCATACATCAAGTTTTACTGGAAATGCATAGTTTTGTTTTAGGAAATCTTTTGTTCCCTTCTTTCACTGCCCTCTCTAAGACCTTCAGACAAACTGCACAATGAATATCAACAATGCATCTCATGTCACACACAAAGCACAAATTGAGCGTGGAAATTCTGAACAGATATGCGCAAAAAAGAGTGCTTTCTTGAATGTGCACTTGAGAGGTGAGATTTCATGCAGAACTTTTAATCTCATTCTAGTGTAATTTGTTTTAATCCACCTCACTGCTTTATTAGACAGCAGTCAGTCACTGTGGTCTGATTTCAACATTGTGTTCCATCGCTTTATGTAAGATACAGATATGACATACAGAGAGGAACAACCTGCTTATGCAGCAGATTGAAAATATGCGCTTGGCATCAGACTATTTATGGTTGCCAATGCTGTGATTTTGGACTAGTAGGAGATTTATCAAAATCCTTTTTTTTTTTTGTCAGCAGCCTAGGCTCAGGGCACTGGGAAACATACCTGAGATTTCTACTAATGATGTATTAACTCTTTTGTAACTCCAAAGAGTCAGCAGAATTGGTGGCTATCTTCAGTGAGGAGTCTTGCATTATTGTACAGAGCTGAAAATCTGACTAGCAGCATGTCTTTACTGGGATGAGAAGCTGCAGGGACATTTTTATGGGGTAGAGGCTGAGAAGTCAAAAGTTCTCTTGGGTGTGGTGAGCCATTCCCCACTGTAGTTTTTTTTTTTTAAAAAAAAAAAAAAAAAAAAAAGTAGTGGTATGAAAGAGTCTCTGGTGGAAAAAAGATGAAATTATAGAATAATTAAGGTTGGAAAAGACTTCTAAGATCATCTAGTCCACTGTCAACCTATCACCACCAGGCCCACTAACCACATCCCTAAGTGCCACATCTACATGTTTCTTGATTCTTTATGAGTAAGAACTATTTCTACTAAAATAACATCACAGACTTCAATGAGGACAATATTTGGGGCTTGAGGTCTTGGGATTTCATCTTTCTTTGATCAAATGATTCATCTGCGTAGCCTTACAGTGGGCATTCTGGTGGTCGTGATTCAGAACCACTGAAGTCCCGACAAGATGAGAAATCACAGAATCACAGAAGGGCCAGGGTTGGAAGGGACCTCAAGGATCATGAATCTCCAACCCCCCTGCCACATGCAGGGCCACCAACCTCCATGTTTAATGCTAAACCAGGCTGCCCAGGGCCCCATCCAACCTGGCCTTGAACACCTACAAGGACGGGGCATCCACAACCTCTCTGGGCAGCCTGTTGCAGTAATGGTGTTTTGTTTCTGAAGTGCATGGTGCTATCAAACCTTTTTTTCAAAGTATCTTTTGCAACCCAGATCTACTGATTTGATTGTCACTTTAACAGTTTATCTATGTTCACTTCTTATAAACGTGATTGTCTGTATGGATTATTCACCCTTGCTCAATCCCATTTGATAAGTACTTTTTGCTAATGGTCGAGAAAACGTTCATGGTAAGCATTTCTAATTGTTTGGAGGCTTTTAATTTATTCATTAAATTAACTAATTTCTTGAAGTGTAAGTTGATTTCCCAATTTGGGTTGTTCTTCAAAAACTAAGAAATAAAGATCTTCAGTGTATGAAATGGAATGCAAAAAGGCTTGGGAAGGAGCAGAATTTTGCAAATAAGGTTTGCCCTATATTGTTAACTTTGGGTTTCAACAAAAGATAAATGATTCTCATAGAATTGAGTTTGACTGTGTTGTGGTGGTCTTAAACCCTAATAAGTCAAAACATCCTGTGCTGAGAATTTAATTCAGTAAGATGATAAACAGATTTGTTTTTTCCGTGCTTGCCAATTTCTTCTACTTCAGCTTTTAATTTTTTTTCTTTTTTTTTTCTGGTAGATTCTCAATCTCACATTTTCAGCAAATATATTAAAGAAAAAAGAGCAAAAAACTCCCAGAACTTCAGGAAAAGTACTTGTCATTTGTACGTCCAAGTAAGGAAGCCCAAGAGTAGTAGAACGAATGATGTTCAATAATTATGATGATGAACTGCTTGAAAAAAACCCTAAATAAATCAAACATGAACAACAACCCTTCATACTTTGAAATTCTGTTCATCTGAATTAAAGTGCATTTACGTTTTCTTGACATCAACAATTTGCTGACATGTCCTGAGAAAATCAAAATGTACTGATTCATGTCGTCTTCACTGGAAAATCACTATCATACATGGTAATAATGTTTTTACTTCATTTCTATCAGACTGAAGCAAAATAAAATATATGGAAGCAAGTTATGTATCTTATTGTTTTGTAAAGAATCATTTCACACATTCACTTTTCCTGGAAAAAAATGCTTTCTAGATGACATTTACCTGGATCTCGGAGCTACTGACTTATACTTTGACAAATACTACAGAAGTTGGTGAATGATGTTAAAAAATCAGTAGTTTTTAACATAATTTATTCAGTAGATGAGTGACAGAACTTGTAATCTCAGTAAAAATCACTCAATTTCCTGCTTTAAAAAACAAACAAACAGAAAAACAAACTTGTAGTTTAGGAGAGAATATGAAAATTGTGAGAGATTCTTAGGTACTGTGACGTAACGTCATCCTAGAGTTTTCAGCTTTTTCCAGAAAATTCAGATATGGAATGTTCTTGGCTGTTCTGAAGTATGGATCCAAGAAGTATGACAAGGGAAACTCTGTACAAGAACTTTGGCTGATTTTTTTTTTTTTTTTTTGTCTCAAGTTCTTTTTATAGGAAATTGCATTCATGATTAAATGTGGAGAAAATAACAGGGTTAAACGATCGGTTTCCTTTAAAAGGGCTTAAGCTGTAGGACTTGACTGTAGACTGCTCTTTCCACAAAAGCTTCGCAAGTGAGGAAAGACAGTGTAAAGATCAGCCAATATCAAACTCTAGTCATAAAACAGGGGTGCTAAGGACTACCCAGAACGGAGGTTTGTAAATGGTCAGTTCTACAGGTGCCTGAAGTAGCATAGGATCACGTTGCATTTCCCATGGCTTAAAAGCTTAGATATTTTTGGTAGTGAAATGTTTTATTACTGTCTTCTTGCAGCTTAATATTTTCTTGTGGCTGAGATTTACCCCTTTGTGGCAGAGTTTTTGATTATGGCCTTTTATCATAGTTCACCAAATTCTGCTTCCCTTGTGGTGATGATTTTTGCTTGCTTGAATGAATGTTTCCAGCTGCTATAGAACCGGGTGCTTCCCAGCATCACCTTCTGGGGCATTTGCTGCCTTTTCCTTCTTTCATTTCAGTGGATTTCTGAGTTGGTCCTTCCCTTGAATGATCTTGTTTGTTTCATTGTATGTCCTCCAGGAGAGTTGCTGTTGTTTGTTTGTTGTTGTTGTTGTTTTTCCTCAAATCTGTTTCTAGGTTGAATTTTTTGTTCTCTCAAGACTTTCTTTGTGTTGAACTAGGTAATTTACAGAGGGGTTCCATCTCCGGAATGGAGCCCGTATGTTGTAAACCATATTATCACACAGAGGAATGAACTCCCTGTACCAAGATCTGATTCTTTGGTGGCCTGTCCTGGGTGCAGTGTGGTAGAGCATGAATGCAACAGGCAGCACTCAGGGATGGGTTGCACATGGGCTACTGCCGGTGCTTGGCACCTCAATTGGAGGACTTCCAGTCCTTCCTACTTCAGAACCTGAGCACTAGCAGTGCAGGTCACATTGTTTGCTTTTACAGGCAATTGTTTAATGTACAATTAAGTTACAGTTAGATTAGTTTACAGGAAGTGGGTTTGAACTATTAGAAACACAGTGGATGAGCTTCAGTTACACATTGCACTTTTGCAATCATCACTGGGAAGGGAAGTGATGTAAATTTTTTTGTAATAGTCTTTGTATCAAACCATTGCATAAACTTCAGCTTGCTTCAGCTTCAACTCATGTCATATGGACATTTTTTCATGTCCCTTTGAATCAAAAAAAGTCTGTGGTTATGAAGGATTTCCCTTTTCTGAAGCCTGTGACTAATGCAATTATGAAATTTAGTAGGTCTTAACAATAGCATTTAGGTGGGTGTGCCAGGTGTTAAGGTACGTACCACACTTATGTCTTTACAATAAAAAATGTTTTCACTCTGTGATTTACAGGTTGAGAAAAGTAAATGCTATCTGAGTATCGTCCTTCCAAACAAAAGAGCCTGGATATCTGCATTGCCCTTGCTGGTCATGGATTCATTCATTGGTCTGTTAAGCTTCCTTCCTGCAGCTTTCTTTCTCCTCTGGCTGCCTCCAGGCAGCAGCAAGGGTGGTGTTGCGATTTCAGGGTCTAGAGGGCCAATGCCCCGCAGGAGAGAACTGGCTCCATCACTTTTCTGATGTAATGGAGAGATATGATTACACTGTAGGCAATTTACAATTTTAATCTTTTTTTAAAGTATTTTGGAAACTTTGTTTTGGAAAATTCATTGAGAACTTTGGACTACTATACTGTGTCTAGCTGACAGATCTTCCGCTTATCAAAAAGCTTCTGGCTTTAGCTCTTAATGAGATAGAACAATTTTACTAAGCTTGTAAATACTAGGTCCTTATTTCAAATGATGATACATCTGATCAAATAAAAAATGTGACAAATTCCCTTTGGTCATTCTCAGGTTTTGTATCAACCAACGGAAAGTATTTGCTTTAATTGAAATGGGCACAAGTTTGGTACCCTTTCATTCCCAAAGAAGAACAGGGCAAATCCTGCCTTACTTCTTTTATGCTGAAGAAGACATAAGCTAGCTGAATGGAAAACAAATGAGAAATTTTATTTACCACTTCTTTGATATGTAATACACACAGTGTCTTGTTACATCTAAATGAAATGTGTAACTAATACCTGTAAGACACTTCAGATTAGGTGTCACCATCATTTCAGTTTTGTGCCTACAAGTGATTCTGGTTGCTGAGAATTCTCTGTAGCAAATCAGCAAACTGAATATAAGCAAGGATTGACTTGAATACTTTTTAATGAGTCATTATTTTTTAAAAGGGAATGGCATAAAGCAACTCAATGCTTCATGTTATTCACTAGTGTTTCGTAGTTCTGTTTAAAACTGCCATTTGGGGCAGGGGTGGGTAATCAGTTTTACATGGTATTTGTTACACAGCTGTGTACTGCTGTCTTGGGTGTTATTTTTCTTTCAGTTTGAGGCAAGGGTACTGTAATGTCAAAATTATCAGATCGCTGTAAGCTGTGTTCCTCCTATTTTTGGTTATCATTATGGAATTACGTTGTTTTTCCTTTTTTGTTTTCCTTAATGAACTAATATAGGAAAACGGGAAGTAAAAAAAACCACCAAAGTTCGGCTTTACTAGCTGGTATCTATGTAACTTCCCTTAATGGTGTGTTTTATGGAGGGCCTCTTAATGAAGGGAGAGTTGATACTTTTAATCAATTTAATCAAAGTTGCCTCATATAATTCTTGATTATTGGTTTCTAAAAGAGAAAGTAAGAATATTTCTAAAGAGATTCTGAATGAGGTGGTTTCACAGTCTTGTTAAGATGCTTCTTATCTCAGTGATTCAAGTGCTATGTGAATTTGTAATTCTCTTGGGCTGAGAGTGGGTAGGGAATGGGAGGGCCTGGCTGAACAGGAGGTGGCAGAAATGGGATTTTCAGAACTGTCCAGGGTTACATTTCCTTCATTGGGAGCATGGACAGGACATTACCATCATCAGCCGCCTTTTAGTTTTTCTATCTTCAGCTGGCTTTTGATTTATTTTTTTTTTTCCCTATCTATGTTTGGCTGGGTACATACTTGGGCTGAAGAACATGTAGCTATCCTGATAGTGGGGGCTATAAGATTAAATAACATAACAATAAGTATAATATAATAAGTATAATAATAAGCTACATAATTACTTTTATTTGTGGCTGGGGAGCAGTATCATTAGTAAAGTATTAGTAGTAGAACACCAGGGTGGAGTTATGGGGAAAGCCATAGTGAATAGAACAGTGCCAGTTTAGCTTACAAACTGAAAACGTATTATCGGAGATGGTCTGCGTAATTCTGGCAGCAGGTTCCACTCATGCTCTATTGAATTGGACGGATATGTTCTAGCGAAAGGCTTCATTTAGTTGTCTTTTTATATAAAAATCTAAAGGTGAAGATGCCAGTCCACCCTAAGCCATAGTGGAATCCAGCTGTTTCGCTTAGCTAAGCACTGCAGTTGGTAAGCTTGTGTTTGGAGCAGAGTGGTTTCTTATATAAATTCATTTTTTTTTTACAAACATTCAATTTTTGAAAAAGCTTAGTTTGGAACATTTCATGCTCTTCCTGTGTCTCTGTTACATAATTTTTGTGTCTCTCCTTTGGATGAATCGATGAACTGATGAGTTTCAGAGACAACTGAAGTAATTAACCTCTTCCTTCAGTACTGCTTATGTTGCACTGTGCCTCTTCTCATTAGATCCCTTTTCACAGCAGCTGCATGCAGCTATCTGGCATTCCCTGGCAGCTTGGTATGGAACAATAGTCTGTCATTAGAAACATTAGCTGAAGTAGTTTTGAAAGGGAAAAACGGGCAGGTGAACATGGTAGCTTTACTTTCAGTTCAGAGTCATTCTGAAAGATTAGCACATATCTAAACACACCTTATTAGTGGAACACCTCTAGGAGAGAATAAAGATTTATAGTATTTTGGAATATATTTACAGAACATATATATGTATTTTTGTCCTTTCTTTAAGAAGAGATCTGAAGTAAGGTGAGGATAAGTTACTCTAGTGATAGTTCCAAGTAACAGAAAACAGCTATTGTATACAACAAGAATGTTGATTGACTCCACCAAAATACGGTTTGTTAGCTAATCTAAAACTGCAGTTTTGTCAAGGAAGACAGATGAAAAGAATGGCAAGGATCTTACTTCTTTTGGTAGTCTTAACAAAAATACTTGAGAGAAGATTCAAAGCAGCTATAGTAAGCTTGGGTTAAACAAGGTCTTCACAGTCCTGTTCTTGAAGCAGATTTCAGCAGCCAGCTATATTTTCATGTACATTACAAAAGAAATACTCTGAAAATATGAAAATTGTAATGTGTTCAATAATT